CATACCCCTATATTCTTTTTAACACTATTTACTTTGACTTTCACTTCTCTTTCTCTTCAACATTGCTTCATTTCTTGTTTCTATTTAAATACCGGCATTGCATGCGTGCATCTGTTTTGAGTCACTGCAATGTGTTACAAACTTGCGTTGCCTATTATGCTTTTTTAATAATGCCCTGTTCCTGAGCTTCTCGCATTTTATAACTTTTGCCCTATGCTATTCTTTGAAGGCTTGGATAAAGATATACGGCCATACATCATCTGCATCGCATCGGTTCTTTATTTCTGCTTCTTCTGCTCCTTTGGTGCTAAATCAAACACAGGATGTTACCCTCGTCACCAGTTCGAAAGATGAAACCTTTACCACAATATTTATACAGTATACAGTCCTCAAATACCGAGTACACATAGACATATATATATACATATAATGTGGATTTGCCCTTAGCACTCTCTCAATCCTCCCTTCGCTTTGTTTACTCGCATCCCATGCTGCCTTCCACTTTGGGCTGCTCAGCACAAGCCTATATCACGTGATATATGATACCTGAGTACGGTTAATACACAAGCGGGTAGTCTAGCCTTATGTGGTTTAGATCAGGGCCCTTTGGATACCTGGCCTTTTTGGCTGCTGACTAAGCGAATCAAGCTAGCACGAAACGAGAGAACAACAACCGGCGGGTTGAAGCTGGGGTTATCCGGATATCAAAAATGCTGGCGATGGCCGCATATTCGCCGTTAAGAAAGTAGCCAATTTCATTACCGACACTACTCTTAGAGCAGTTGATGCCTGTGCTGGACAAGCTGATATATATGCGATCTCATTGGCCGCTATCCAATGAACGGATTTGCGCATGATGGCCTTGACGAGGCCAACTTTGGAGCGCCTGATGGCATTGCAACTAAACTAAAGACATTCGATGCCTTTCGTAAGTTTTAACAAAATTAACATGCCTGTTAATATTTAGATTACATACTAATCGACCGCTTACAGCAAAGACGAAGCCGTCATATACCTCCACCAGCCGTGGTGGCGGGCTGTGGACAATTTTTGTAGCTATCATCTGCACCATCCTCTCCTGCTCCGAGCTCATAACGTGGTATCGTGGCCATGAAAATCATCACTTCAGTGTTGAAAGAGGGGTATCACAGGAGATGCAACTCAACATCGACACTGTCGTCGCTATGCCCTGCGATGATGTCCGAATAAATATCCAAGATGCGGCTGGTGACCATATTTTGGCTGGAGATTTATTAACGCAGGAGCCCACTAGCTGGGCCGCTTGGAACAGGGAAATGAATCAACGGCGTAGTGGAGGAAGCCCTGAGTATCAGACACTAAACAAGGAGGATTCTCTCCGGTTGGAAGAACAGGAAGAAGATCTCCATGTCGAACACGTCTTGGGCGAAGTAAGGAGAAGCCGAAAGAAGAAGTTCCCAAAGTCCCCCAAGCTGAAAAAATCCGATGCGGTGGACTCATGTAGGGTGTTTGGAAGTTTAGAGGGCAATAAAGTGCAAGGAAACTTACATATCACGGCTCGAGGCTTTGGATATTTTGAATGGGGAAGGGCTACTAACCCTCACAGTATGTCACTCTTACAGCCTATTATAACATGCATTCACGGAGATGCCAAAAACTTAACCGATCAGCTAACTAAATTGTTTCCAGGCCTGAATTTTACCCACCTCATCACCGAGCTCTCATTCGGCCCCCATTATGGCCGTCTTCTCAATCCACTTGATAAGACGGTTTCCTCAACATCCATAAATTTCTATAAATACCAATATCACCTCTCGGTTGTTCCAACAATATATACAAAGTCTGGCCACATTGATCCTAATCGTCGATCTCTTCCAGACGCGAGCACTATAACGGCCAAGGATTCCAAAACGACCGTTTCAACAAACCAGTATGCGGTAACCTCATACTCCCAGCCAATACAACCACGCATCGACGCTACCCCAGGTATATTTTTCAAATATAATATCGAGCCAATTCTCCTGATTGTCAGCCAAGAGCGGGATAGCCTATTAGCCCTAATGGTCAGGCTAGTCAATGTCGTATCTGGTGTGCTCGTTACCGGTGGCTGGCTGTTTCAAATCGGGACTTGGGCCATGGAAACCATGAGGAAGAGAAGAAGACTCGCATCAGATGGCTTATTAACAGGGAAACACGCAACAGATTAGTGGGTTGTCTCCGGCCCATGTGGCTGGATCGTGACGCACAAGAATATCTCCAGTCTTCTACTGATCCTATTTCTCCCCATTTTTCCTTTCTCTGTTAATTGTTTCCTAGGTTTTTTTTTTTTTTTTTTTTTTCTCCCCTTTGCTTTTCATCTCTTTTTGGAAATATGAATCGTATATCTCGGAGTTGGGGCGGTAGATTGCATTTCGAAAATATGATGTTACACCTATACTTTTTTTGGTCTCGGTTCTCAACAGAGCAAAAATATTCAGGGGTTGTGGGACATCCATGAATTAGCGCAAGAACAGCTCACTACCAAGCTATTTATCCCGAGAACCCTGCTTCTAGTTCAGTCAGCAGTCTTCATTATGAGTCCGTGGAGGATCTGCCCTTTCGCACTTCAGGGGAAAAAAAAACTCCCGAGAACTCCGGGTAGCCTGGACCGCTCCCTTTGACCAGCAGCAGCGTACGAAGCTTAGAAAAGATATGCCACGCATTGCGCCGCAAAGTTCTCCATCCCCCAGCCCGGACGGGTCAGAGGCCCCTGTTCCGCGAGCGGTCTTGCCCACGCGCACTAAATTTATTCACCAATTGCATGTGATGATAAGCCCAAGTTCTCGCGGAGGACAGATGCTTCCTTTAACATCAATGCAGGTGCTGCACCACACAGTCACTAGTTGTCAATGTACTAGTCCTGTAATATCTTGCGGATGCAAGGGCAGACTTGCGAGCAAACTTTCCGAGCTAAATGACGCATAATATCTTCCGCGTCGCATTTACACGGGTGTGCAACCAATAATGAACCCCCGGCTGGTGGTTGCATTTGAAATGGTTTCTTGGAGAACGTGGAGCCTTTGACAGCATGTATGCAAGATATCCCCCATTGTCAGTATCTGTTACGCCGGTTTTACGGTTTTCTTCTGCTCTCCCATCTGCACAGCATGGTTTGGTTATCTGTGCTGATGACGCAGTACTTCTTGTTGGAAATGTGTTGCTCTGCCTCTTGATAACTGAAGTGAGCGGGTGATCCTTGTTTGAGTGGCTGCGGCTTCTTTGATCTAGATTGGTTTGCCTGGTAACGAGTCTTTTCCCTGTCATGAATGCCTATATCGTGAGATGTTTAGGCCGTGACCTTCCTTCTTCCGCCCTCCTTGGCTGTTGAATTGAGAACCCCTGCCTCCAGCCGGTAGAACATGGGTCTGATCCCACTGCTTTCTTGGTTTTTTTACTTTCTTCTGGAAGCCAGAATCTCATATTGGCGGTTACACACATAATCTAGTCTCTTGCCCATCCAACTATCCATTGATCATTCCTCCTCCCCTTCTTCCCAACTAGTTACTGGTCGCAATGTTTTCATATCTAGGAAATAAGATAACCAGATGGCTTGGGTGCGGTGTAAAACCGAAATCCATTTCCACAGGAACAGATACCCCCGAAGCAACAGCCATAGACTCAAACAGCAATCTAGGGAAGACTAAACCGGTGATCCTCATCATTCATGGCGCATGGCAGCATCCAGCGTATTATCAGACCTTTGTCCAAGTGTTACAATCACGAGGTTATGAGACGCATTGCCCGCGTTTACCGAGTTGCAATGGTCAGGTTCCGCCTACAAAGTCACTCGAAGATGATGTCCACTTCATACGCCAATTCACAGCCCAGCTTACAAACGCTGGCAAGTTAGTTGATGTCATTATGCATTCGTATGGCGGGATAGTTGGAACCGACGCGCTTTGTAAATTTGGTATTGCAGAGAGATCCAGAAGAGGATTTGCGGGTGGAGTAAGGAATCTGATATACCTGACAAGCTTTGTGCCTCATAAAGGACAGAGTTTGGTAGGAATCTTCGAAGGCCAATCGTTACCAACTGTTAAAATCAACGTAAGTCCAAGTCGACTTGATTTTGACACTGCTTTTTCTTTGTCGTTCTCGCGCACTTTTCGTACTCTCTCCTGGTTTTCCATGAAATTTATATACTGATATCTCCGATCAATTGTTAGGAAGAAACGAACCTCATATCAGCAACCGATCCAATTCCGATGTTTTACAGCGACTTGCCGAGTGAAGAAGCAGAGTACTGGGTGAAACAAATGGTTGCTCACCCGTATTCGGCGCAGTCCACTCCAGTCAGCAATGAAGCATTTCGAGAACTTCCAACCTCATACATTGTTTGCGAGAACGATAAGGGTATCTTGCCTGAAGTGCAGCAAATGATGATTGAAAGACTCAAGGTTGCTGGTGTTGATGTGCAGGTCAAACGATGCCGCGGAAGCCATAGCCCTTTCCTAAGCATGCCCAATGTCACGGCAGATATCATCGAAAATATTTCAAATGCGTGACATCTTGCTCTCAGCATCGTCTTACCTTCCAAGAAATGGTGGAAATATGAGATATGGTACGGAGTACAATTCGTCCAATGCCCATGAAAGTCGCACCATGATATACGAATTATGGAAGCTGCTTCATCCCTCCTCTCATTTCCCACTGTTTCACGCTGTCCCATGTATTTATTGACCAACATCGATGTCTGGTCGATGTGAAAAGATTTGTTTGTCCAACAGTGAAAATTGACTACGGGCGGGATAAACCTTAAAACAACAGTCTATTAATTACGTAACTAAGTTTAATGTCACGTGCAGTTATCAAGCATGGAGGAACTTGTTAACGACATGAAACAATTATTGAGTGAAACAAGAGTTTTAAAACATAAGATCTCATCAGCCTGACATTGAATGATTCGTTTTCCATCGCATTTTCTCGGGGAGGCCGTAATCCTCATGCCAAGGAGGCTTCCAATTATACCACTTATGTGCTGCTTAGGCATAGACAACAACTGCGGCCATTGCAACCACTGCACCCACAGCCTGAGGGAGAGGAACACGAACATACCCGGCAGCACCAGTGTACTGTGCTGGAGGTGCAGTACCTGATGTGCGTGGTCCATCACAATGCCAGTGGTCACCGTGGGGCTCACAGCCGACGGACTCTGTTGGGCTAGGCTTCAGAGTCTTGGTGCTTGATCCGGTAGCATAAGGTGCAGTAGATGTCGTGACACGAGGTCCATCGCAATGCCAGTGGTCACCGTGGGGTTCGCAGCCAACGGACTCTGTTGGGCTAGGCTTCAGAGACTTGGTGCTTGATCCGGTAGGATGAGGCTCAGCAGATGAAGTGACGCGAGGTCCATCGCAATGCCAGTGGTCTCCGTGGGGTTCGCAGCCGACGGACTCAGTTGGGCTAGGCTTGGTGGGAGTTGCCATTCCCTCATGGCCTTCAGCGTGCGAAGTGATTGCAGTAGCAGCTGCTGAGGTCGCAGGGGCTGGGCCCGCACAGTGCCTGACGGATATGTTAATACTTGACTGTCCTCCAACTAATAATGGTCCAGCTGAGTTCTTACCAATGGTCACCATGCGGCTCACATCCCACTGACGCTGTAGGAGAAGGTGGAAGTGTGCCTTCGGCGAAGACTACACTGAGTGCAGAAAATGCAACAAGGAAATATCCAACGGTCTTCATGGTGACAGATATTGTGTGTAGTCCGTGTTCGAATCAAGGGCACAAGTGACTGTAGAGCATGCTCCAACGATGATGGTCCTGGACGCCTTTTTATATTTGGACTTCCAGTCCCAGAATGCCTACGTTGAGCACTCTATACGAACTTATTGCTCCCCGGGTCCTTCTTTACTGGCCTCTCTCGCTCGGAGAATACCTTTCGATCCCGCGCTATGGGGCCTTTAGGCCCCGATCTCTCTGCCACCAACCAGCACCTCCGCAGTCCAAGCTTTGCACAAGCAAGTTTTCTTTTTTTTTTTCTCACCTCATTATGATGGATTCGACTTGATTCGATGTCGCTTCGTACTTAAAGCCCGAGGAACAGAGAGAATAAGCTCGAAGCGAAAAAATAAAGGAAATGTTCCCTTGGCATACTACAAGGTACTCAGGGCCACTTCAATACACTGGTCAGCAGAGAAATACACTCAAATTTTCATCATTCCTTTATCTCTATGGCTTGAAAGCTCCTTAAAGAATTTTTAAGCTATTCATATCCAGGACTATTATTAATAACGGAGTCGCCAATAAAACTCTCGGAAGCTCCTCACAGCAATGCCTCCTACTATTAAAGCCAGTGGAGAGATTTTATTCGATTCAACACTGTTGCCAGCTCTGTATTTTCCATCTACTTCTATACTGATATGTTATCACAAGGTCCTCATTTTGTGTCTGGAGCTATATTCAAGATGGGTCAAAAAGGACCCTTAGGTCTCTCCGACTGTGGAGATGCATGACAGCACCGACGCAAATTTTATCTATTTTTTTTAATCTTATCTTGTTTTTCCATAGTTATCTTCCTCAGCTAACTAACTACCTCGGTCACTTATGCGATAGCCTTGAATAGAAAAATTTGCTCGCAGGGTTCACAGCAACCCTCGTAGCTACCCCAAACTCATTTGGATCCTTCCGTCATTGAAAATTCAAACATGAGTCCATGGAAATGTCAGAGGCTATTCGGATTCTTGCAGTCATTAATCCTCCTTTTTGCCCTCGACATTATACCCAAACATATTTAGTGAACTTATCATCGAAATGACTCGGCCATACGCTCTCATCTCTCTCGCCCTATCGATAGTAATCGGCTTGGCTCTAGTTTCGATTCTTGATGACATCACTAACCCAACTCTTCGAAGCGATGTTAAACCGGCAATTTACAAGCTGGCAGGGATCAGTGCTCTAACTTCCTCCCTTAAGCAATACATTCCAACAAGCTATCTACGCCTTGCTCCCCTGCGAGCTGGGCTCCCGGCATACTACCAGCACTCAAGTGGTTACAATGCTACCAGTGTGAATAGAGAAAAACTAAAGGGGAAAACGATTAGTACTCGACAATTGGAAGAGAAGTCTCGTCTGAGAGATCGAATGAAGAGGGATAACAACAATAAATGGGACTCATCGCATCCACGATATCGGCTGTTGACAGCCATGCATGGCTTTGCTCGGTACAAAGATAGAAATTTAGCCGAAGCTGATCGATGGAGTACTTTATATTTGAACTCCCCCATGCGCCACCGCAAAGTAAGTCTCGTTCTACCACTTTTTACACTGACTGTCTAACGATATACTTCCAATAGTTCATTGAATCTACTGTAGGGTACACCTCAAAACTGAACAAGGTTAAAGACTTGTTTACCGAAAACGATGTCCTCGCCCAGGCAATCCTAGCCCATGCCCTGGATTTTTATGAGGTCGAACGAGCTGAACTAGACCAGTTCATCCAAGAGGCTGAGTTCAATGGCATTGTGGCCGACAAGACCAGCACATCTCAAGCCATGAAGCATTTCGTGAGGGATTGGTCTACAGAAGGGCTGTTCGAAAGGGACGCGGCCTTCCCCTGTGTGTTGGAAGCCCTGCAAAATTATACTGTCCGTTCAGATGATAGACCTCTTCGCGTCCTAATTCCTGGTTCTGGACTAGGCAGGTTAGCACACGATGTCTCGAAATTGGAAGGTATTTGCGACCAACTAATTAACTGGCTGCTTTCTGTTCTAACAGTTAATTCCTCTAGGATTTGAGGTTACTTCTAACGAATGGTCTTCATATATGAACATAGCGTACCGTTATGTCGAGGCCTTGCAGCTCTTAAATTCAGAAACATTTTTCCCCTTTATTGACTGGTGGTCACATCAGGCTTCCACTGCAGACCTCCTTCGACCCGTTCAATTCCCCGACACCATTCCTTACCATGCGAACGGTTCGCTAGACCGTTCTCTCGTCCACATCGAAGGGGACTTCAACTCTATGCATTATGGCCTCCCAGCAGCCGAGACCAAATACGACGTCGTGATAACACTCTTTTTCATCGACACTGCTAGAAATCTTATGTCCTACTTCGAGACTATTCAAGACTCCTTGAATGAGGGAGGCACTTGGATTAATCTTGGTCCGCTCCTTTATGGAAGTGCCCCATTCTTGCAACTTTCTTTAGATGAAATTGTTGATGTATGTGAGCACCTGGGATTTGAGTTCCTTGATACGTCTTCAAAATGTGGTGCTACTACTCTTGACGGGAGGAAAATCAGGAGCAAGGAAGTGCCTTATGGCCTGAGTGATCGATCTTTATCTAAGAATGCCTACAAAGCTCAATTCTGGGTTGCAAAGAAGGGGAAAGCAGTCCCGCCATAGTCATAGATATATGAGGAATGAAGTCGATGTGGATTTTATAGGCGGCGGATTAGTTGGTTGACGGATGAATGCCTAGTTTTGGAATATGTAAACAAGTTGTGTTAAGAACTGGGCCAGCCATGTATCCAAAACATACAAATCAGCCCAATAGGTGTCTTTAGGGTCCGTCAGTTGTTATGTATAAAACGATTACGCTTCAAAAATTTCACCTAACCCTATTCCTACCCCTTGCGCTCCATATCGGCACTCAACCAAATCTAGCCTCCATCCTTTCCAATTCTTCAGCTTTGCTTTTATCTCTCGGGCCCATTCCACACGTTTTTTAGCTTCTTCCTCTTCTTGGGCACGAGCAAATGCATCTTCATCAAACGCATCGTCATCTAAAAATTCCTCATTTGGATCTGTATGGGAACCGTAATCGAAGCTCTTATGTCCTCTATCATGATCTTGAGCACCAGTGAACGCCGCAATGCCACTTTGCAATACTGTTGCAAAGGATGAGTGTTGCTGTGGCCTGTGGCTGATGCTGCGACGACCAGCGTAGCTGTGACCCCCTGGCGCACCGCCTGTGAGATCGACATCATCAAATGTGCCTGAAAAGGATTTCCTATCTGCCGAGGGACCTTCACCATCATTCTGAGAAGAGAGTTCACGTTTGCGTTCTTTCCAAATGCCTCGTCGAAGATCAAAAATTTCTCCCTCCAGATCCCGAACTTTCCGTTCAAGTCGCTGTCTTTCCTCGTCTTCTAACTCATCTAGACCTTCATCAGCCCCAACTCCCGATGCCTCACGTTTCTTTAGTCGGTCTCTTTCTTCCTTGAGCCTTAGGTTTTCATTTTCGGTTGTTGTTATCTTTTTCGTGAGCATAGCCACATCCTTCTCGAATTTATCCCGTTCCTTCATACGGGTTTGATGTCGACTTTCGGACTCCTTATGCAGGTTGCTTAAGGCTTGCAGTTTCTTCTCAAGTAGATCTGCCTTTTTATCCGCTTCAGCTTTAGCTTCCTCAGTTTCCTTGATCTGGCGTTCTAGGCTCTTAATGAGGGTTTCAGTGGATGTTTTGTCCACCCCTTCTTTAACTGCCTTTTCTGCTGCTCGGCTTACAGCTTGTTTGGCATCGGCAAGCTCTCTCTGTGTCTTCTCTAGTGCGCTTTCACTGCGTGATAGCTTCTCTTCCAAAGCTGAGATTTGTTCCTGGTGGGCTGAGGAGCTGGTGGATTGTGAGTTCAGTTGTGCTCTGAGGTTGGATATCTCCATCTCCATGTTTTCAATAGTCGCTGACTTCGCGTCTAGTTGACTTTGCAACTCAGATGGCGAATCTGGACTGCCTGATACAGCGGCACTGTTTGATGGTCTATGCGTGCGGGTATGAAAATGAGAGTTCTGCCGTTGCAAAGCACTAATTTCCGCTTTCTATGACCGAAGTTAGCAGACACTCCACAAAATAGGAATATACTTGCTACCGACAAGACTTTCTACTTCCTCTGCTTGTTTCTCCGCCTTTGCAAGCTTCTCCTTCAACTCAACGGTTTCAGCACTGGATTCACGTAAATCATCAAGTTCTTCCTCAGACTTCTTCCACTTTGCATTTGTCGCTTCCACTTCTTTTTCCAACCTCTTGTTTTCCTTCTCTAGTTCTTCCAGCCTTATAGCTTGTTTTCTAAACACTTCTGGCGCTGTGCTGCCATCAGGGCTCAGAGGTAGTGTGGGGGATTTAACGCCCGATGAGCCCGGGCTGACCACTGGAACTTTCGAATCCTGGCGAAAGGACGAAGAGCGGAGCTTGGATTGAACGGATATCGAGGGTTGGCGGCCATGGGATCGGGTTTTGGGCAAAGATTCCCCGCCTTTGTCTTCCTTGTTATTAGATTCATCCACTTGATCTTCAGTAGTAACTGGTGTTTCCGTAACTGCTTCTTCGGTATTATCTTTTTCAGCATCCTTTGGAGTCTCCGTCTCAGCTTGCTTTTCGGTGTCTGGTTCCTCCGGTTTGGAGTCTGGAGAGGGTCCTTTGTCTCCCGCTTCCGCTGAAGCAGCAGCTTGTTTACTGGATTCCCCTTTCTTTCCCTTCTTTCCCTTTTGCTTTTGCATTTGCGCTACCTAAATTAAAACCAAGTGATGGTCAGTCCTATATCAATGGAGCTGGCGCGTGCGCATTGGGATTAGAACTATGAACACACCCTTTTCTTGGCAGCGGCAAGCTTCTCAGCACGATCTTTGTCGTCCGTGTCCGCCATTGTGTCCGAAGGCAGGTGATGCCGTTTGGGAGTGATACTATTAAAACCAGCAAGGTATATTGAAGCTCTGAAGGTGTTTACCTTGTTCTTATCAAACCGATGTTGGACGATGCTACATGCTACCCAGTAATTGGTTAAAATATTCTTACGTAATTGGAAAGCAGCCACATCATGTGACAATCACATGATTACAGATTAATCAACTCCGGTTTCATCCATTGGGAAGTTTTCGGATCGAACACCAACAACGCTCGGCTCCCGAAGTGCATGTAGAAGGCATCATAGTATTTCTGATAGTTGACAGTGTTGAGTAACAAGTATAAGCAGCTAGTTATGTCTACTTGCCGAAGGCATGGTATTCCATAAACTCCACGCCTAATAGCCAGCAAAAGACACATAAGGATAAAGGGCAAACCAAAAAGAATCTCGATCACAAATAACAACCGATCGAACAATCACATCATTAAATGAATTACGAAAAAGAGGGCATGATGAAGAACAGAGAGGAGTAAAACGGTGCCAGCGTGACTAGTAAGCTGAGTTTCAATCGGACACTCAGATGGCTAGTTGCCTTAGCACTGGGTACTTTGACAGAGATCAGTGCATAGATAACCAACCCAGTCATCAAATGGCGTTGATATAAAAATCGTCACGAGCATGCATTATTGCGGAAGGATAATAAGGAGTCAATCAATAACACGGAATATCAAATGGGTAAAAACAAGTTCCAATCAAGGTTGAACTTGGGTAATTCTGGAAATAGGAGGTGTTGCAGTTACACTTCCATAGAGTCGGCAATTTCTTCACTCAGAGCACGGACGGTAGGCTTACTACCGGACTGCGAGCGTAGATCATCATCGCTAAGAATATAGTTGTCATATTCGTCCACAACTGGGCGGGCGGGCTGAGATGGCTGTCTTTCTTCTTCGTCGGCGCTGAATTCATCCATCTCATCGTTTGCGCCATCACCGAACCAGTACTTGGCGCGCTTTCTGGCACCCGTATCATGGGAGACGTAGCCATCATCCTCGACATTCCGCTTGCCTGGGACTGGAGTGGCTGTTCCATCGGCCGGTAGCTGGCTGAGAACGCTGATGCCACGCAAGTAGATGTAGCAAACACGCTTCCTAACTTTGTTGAAGAAGAAATAGTTGAGGCTCCATATGGTGCCCTCTTCGCCGTCGTATGGGTCCTCGTCCGGGCTATAGCAGTATATACTGCACTCCTTGAGGGACATTTGATTATCAATGATCCTCCACATTCTAGGACCCCATGAATGGGTCGTTGCCGACATGTGCGGAGAGGATGAGGTTGGGGTAGGTGGTGTGACATCACGAGCCAACTGCGGGCGGAGATTAAACAGGGTAGTATCAATAGTATCCATGACTCTCCGTAAGTTCTTCTCCCGGCGGAAGTCAGAAGGTCGCAGGACATGAGAAAAGTCATAGTCGGGGTGACTTGCGTTAAGTGTAGCGATAAGATAAGCGTACGTTCTGCGGCTGGAATGCTCACTCAAGGGTCCAAACGGGCTAGAACGTGAGAGATTGAGCGACATGGCCGCGGAAGACGCATTTGGTGGTGAGAGCGAGGCGGAGAGCCGTAAAAGCGATTCATACTGCGTTTCCAAGGAGGTCTCGATGTTCTTGTACAGCTTCTTATCACCACTTGCGGCCTTCGTTGTGTAAAGATCACAGCCGCCCACGACCATACAATCGGGTGTGTCAAAGTTCAGCGCCCTGGTCACATCGTCAAACTCGCTCAAAGGGAGGAACTAGACGCCGTGAGTGTCAGCAAGCTACCGAAGAGGGTTCTGTGTCGTTGTCGAACAACAGATGTTCAGTGCCAGACCTTCATGGTGTCAGGTATTGACCAACAGGATATGCGTGTTTATATTTCCCAGATTCGTGTGTCTTGAGTGTACGTGGTTGTGTTGATATGTTGTTGGAGCTCTTATCGCAAGGATGTGTCGATAGCGGTGATACGGAGCGAGCAAAACAAGCGTTTCTGGGGTCGGGATCTCTCTTGACTGAGGCACTGCTGTCACGCAGGTTACCGCCTCAGCGGACGTGGTGGTTCTTCTTCTTCTTAGTGTTGCTCTTGCTGAAGCAAGTCAAACAGCGGTACGAGTTATCCAGGCTGGCTGCAAGGACAACGCATACGGATCGACTACGCCAGACGACGAGGCCGTCTAGCAAGAAAGGGGAGTCATGGCAACGGCAATACACACAAAGTAAAAGTAAATGAGTAGCAGTGACTATAGATTGGGCAGTGAAGATGAGCGAAGCGCAAAAAGCGACAGAGAGAAGGGAGAGGAAGAGGAAGAGAGGGGAGCGAGCAGCGCGCCGGGAAGGACGAGAAGGAAGCCCAGAAGTTGGGAATATGGGAGCAACGCCCCAGTCACGTGAGGATGTCTGACCAGTGACGTCGAGCGATTGTTTCACGCGATTATGGCAGCAAGGAAGGCCGGGAGACGAAGGGACGACGAGCAGAGAGGGGAGGATGTCGAGGAATGGACGGTGGTGCAGATGCAGGTGCTGGCTGTTATGCAGTGATGCTGGGGCTGCTGGAGCGTGGACAGCATGATGACGATGATGGTTAGCCTGAGAAGGGGTTCGCTGGAAGCGGCCAGGTAGAGACGATGCTGAAGAAGTAAGGAGACGGCAGACCTCAGAGTCCCAGGGAATTCATCGCCTTGACTCTGTCGTCCTCGTCCTATTTGTTGATGAAAGAGTCAAATTAGTCATGTCGTATATACACTGTCCGAGAAACGCCGGGTATAAACTGTGGCCCTAAACAAGATACAAGCAAGCAATGAGAACACGAATCAAGGTGTGCCGACGGCCGCTACATGATTTTCGTGATGATATCCTGTTCAACCTGAAAAGCAGAAAGGAAGAGCAAGGGGTTAGCAACGAAAACAACGCAAGCAAGACAGAGGCTGGCAGGAGGAGCGAGAATCTCTTTGGCGGCTGCTTAGAGTGCTCATTCAACCCCCAGGAATGGAGAATTAGAAAAATTCCCGCTTACCTCCATGTCTTCTAGGCTGTCCTGCTGACTGATGCACCGCAGCACGTTCTTCTTGCTACTCTCCTGCATCTCTCCCGCCAGCAGGAGCTCGTCGAGGATAAAGTAGGCCTTTTGGAAGTTGAAAATAATGTCCAGCTCGCAGACATTGCCATAGTACTTGTCCATCTGCTCGACATATCGGTGGACGATCTCTAGGGTTATCAGCTCATTGTCGGTGGACGAGCAGCCGGCGATGAAGAAGAGGGAGGCATATCGGCGGTACACCACTTTCGAATCTAGGAGACACCGCACTTTGTTAGCCGCATGGTACATGAACAACTTCATACAGGCGTATGCTGCAGCAGAAAAGAGCAAGGTATAAGGCCAAACTCACCCTTGTATTCAAGAAAATTGCACATCCGCGTCCGTCGTGAGAGGACCAGCTGGGTGACATCTTTGATGATCTTCGCCTTATCCTTTGGCGAAAGCGTCGTAAACCATTTTGCCAGACGCTACATGAACCACAATACGGTCAGAAAAAGTATCTAAGATGAAAGACGTCCTCCGTATGATAACGAGGTTGTTGTCTGTCCAAAGGGGGAGAGCTGCTTGTGGGAACGAAAAAGGGACGGGAGGGAGGTTTTGCTTCAAGGTGGGTGACGAGCGTGGGTAGCTGGTGTACTGACCACCTTGCCCTGACGAGAGAGCAGAATTAAATAGCTGGAGATGAGAGTCAGTCAGTCTATTCCATCGCCAGCTAGCCAGGCAGTGAGACTTACTTGATCGCCATTATGTTGCTTTATTTCTGCGGTCGTTCGACGTGGGGAGGAGAAGAATGTCGACAAGTTTTGTGTTATTTTCTTTGCCTATGAAAAATGTTTGGAGGGTCACTTTGACGCCAAGACGCAAAGAGCCGCGCGATCAGAAGCGCCGGCAAAGACGAGCATTGATATTGGCTATTACGGCCGCTCTGTATACTATTCTAGTCGATAAAAAAGAGAGGAGCACTGGTAGATGGCATCTGGTTGTTGATGCCGGCTGACGGCCTGAGAGAACTGAGTATTGTGCTGCATGGTAGAGTACGGAGTAGTAGCTACACACAGATGCACTCCATGCACATTATAGTAAGGACGAAAATTGACACCGTCAATGGGCTTCTATATCCATCCTCCTCACCTTGACTCCATGGTGTATCCTCACCATCCTATGCTCCTATGCGTCTTCCTTCCATCTTCTATTCTATGCCACCGATAGTTAAAAATATCCTGACTAAGCCTGCAAAAAGCCGTCCGTAAAACTTCCGAGGCTCCCCCCACCAAAGGGGAAAATGACATCCCGCATTACAAATGCAAGGGAAGGATTCTGTTTCCACGGTGTTCGAGTTCCCTTCGAGCCGGGATGTTGTTTGTCTGGTGCTGGCTGTTTATATAGAAGAGTGCACCTTGCGACCTTCGTAGCTGGAGAACACACTCAAGGCAGGACTGACAGTGATACACCAGCAAAGATGAGGTTGATACTCTCTACCGGGTAAGTCTGCACAGCCGTAATGCGCGCGAAAATCAGTACTGACCCTTGCGGATAGAAACATCGTCAGCAGTGGACCGTCTGTCCTCAGAAGACCGGCGACAGAGAAGTCCAATGTGGAATTTCTGAACTCGCTACGATATAACTTCGTCTCCGCGCAAGAGATCGAACCCTCACACACCAACTCGCCATGCGAAGAGACACATTCGCCGCCCCAGAAGCTCTCATATAGTGACTATACTACCTGGACTTCCAGAGATGGCGACACGCTATATGTTCCCTCCCTAGACTTTTCAATGTCTGGCCTGTCTGAAGATCGTTCGCAGTACGATGTCACCGTGAAGCTTTTTTATCTTCCGGGAGTACCAGCGCAGCGGAGATGTCAACATGCGCGGGAATCAATCGATCTGGTCCTCAAGGAGCTGCATATAAGCTGCATAGATCTGTTGATCGTTTCGTTTCCAGAGGTCACATTTGATGCGGATGATGAGGGCGAAGAAGAGCTGTCAAACGGCGAAGAGAACGGGTCGGAACTAGACAACATTGTCAAGACATGGCGGGCCTTGGAGGCCATGCATGAGCAAGGGATAATAGCTCAACTCGGCATAGCTGAATTTGACAGTTCACGCCTCGCGAAGCTCCTGGCACAAACAAAGATTCGGCCCAGTGTCGACCAGATCAACGTCAAGGATTGCTGCGTCGTTCCGAAATCGTTGATCCTTTATGCAAAACAAGAGAACATCGAGCTCCTTACACACAATGACTGCACGGATATCCTTCCCCGGGGCACAACTCGAGACCTGCTATCTCGCACCGAAAAGGGTGCCGGTATACTTGCTGCCACAGCTGGCGCCGACGATGGTGGTATAAAAGGTGATGTCGATCCCCAGTGGGTCATCAAGTATACCGCTGTGGTCAAAGACAGAGGTGTGATTGAGAACAAGGGATATTTTGCCCTTGCAGATGTCGGGCCTTGATCAAGAAACCTTGTGGGCTGGTTATTCTCTATATATGTTTCCCTGTCATTTTTTTTTTTCCCCCGGTTACCCTTGATGTAAGCGTGAGCGTTTCCAAGTACTTCAGCACAAATATAGACAATAATTCTGCAGAATACCCGCTGTGTACGATACCAGTATGTGAATACTTTGCTGTTGCATATCATGGCTTGGATTTCGTTCAGAAACTGTAAACGCTGAGCTGTATCCGCGTTCCCTGTAAATGACAATACTTATCCGATCATGCTCCTCTTTCGCCCTCTCAGCCGTACTTCCTCTAGTCTTTTCAAGACCGACTTGGCGGCTTTGAAGCTCTCTCCATATCCATCAAGGACCTCTTGGAATAACCCCTCAGTTCTGGGGTGGGAACTGGCAAACGCTCGCTCCAGAACGTACAAATCCACGGCTCTATCTTCATCCTGGACGCTCTGACTGGCAAGCCCAAAGTCAATGAGAACTATCTCTCCATCCAAGGAGGGCAATTTGTTCCCTGGTTCTAGATGCTTGGTATCCGTTTCGCGAGGAGCCGTCTCAGCTGACACACCGCTAGCTGGTGGCCGTAACATGAGATTACTCGTCGTCAAATCGCCATGTATGATTCCAGTCTTATGCAGCAGCCCGACGGCACTTCCGATCTTTCGGAGAAGGGTGCATATCTTCTTTTCACTTTCCTTCACTGCCTCAGCACAGACGCTAACATCCGTGTCAGCTGTTCCTCGCTCGTCTAGCGCGCTGCTGGACTTTATCCATTTCTCCCAGCTGTCCACGACTTGTCTGACTACATCCCCATCAATCCATTCCATAAGCAGCCAGCCACCATTATTTGCACTATTCCCTTCTTTACTTTCAGTGTCTGGCTCGGGATTGTTCCCCCAGTCCGCTGCCAAAATGCCAGGTACTGGGGCTCCTTCTCTAGCCAGTTTGGCCATGCATCTCGCTTCCTGTAAAATTCGCTGGCGAGTTAATCGGCGGTCGAGTATCGGGTGACGATATGGCTTCAACGGGCGCACTTTTAATGCTGCAGGGATAGAAGGATGCAGAAAATGAGTTTTATATAGTCGGGCTTCTGCGCCTTGGGCAAGCAAGATAGGTACACTCGCGGGGTCACAGTAGGTAAACGGCCGTGGAAGCGGCGGAGGAAGTTGGATCTCTGCCATGTCGTTATTGCTGCGTGTATGCTGGTTAGTATGTATCTAAGGAGTATGTCCTTAACTGTTCGGCAAAAGCAGTTCTGACTGTTCTGCGGGATCTCTCTTGTTGGTTCCTTCGTGTGCTTACATTTTTCTACTTAGGTGACTTACCTAATCTAGAGACCCATGTCTTCGGGGGTTGGTTGCCCCACAGGGTTTTGCGCTACCTAAATCGGGTTTAGCGCCATATCGCTCCTTCGACGTCTTAGTAAGCAAGTCTTCATTTTCGTTCGCTGATAATCCTGAATATCAATTTGTCAAATCATCGTTCTATAACACAAAATCAAGCAACTGTGATGAAGGGGTCAAGTCTGGTAGGTTTTGGGTTGAGTTGTTGTGATAAAGTTTCTGTATTCCAAGAGGAGATTCAGCTGGGATTAGAACACGGTGCTGCAGTCCCGCTGGAAGGGCTGGAGAATGGTTCGTAAGTGTTTAAGGGCAGCCGCACGGTCATCCCAAGGATACCCGAGGGTTGGCAATTGATTTTCTCGTCCCCGGTATTGGTGACGGATGGAATGGTAGTGGAGGCGGAAAGTTTGGAGATGATGGCCCTGACCGTTGCTATACAACTTCCATACTTATACCGGATTCCTCAGGTTTGAGGTGACAACCCGCTGACAGGAAATTTGGAACTAAAAAGGGGCAGCCTGGGCTTTGCGCGCCCGAGATATTGCATACTCCCTGATTATTTGGCACTGGAAGTCTTGCCTTTGTGGTACTCCGTAGTCTACCCCCTCCCTGGGCGCTGTCCAAACAAACATCATCACAGCAACCATCACACCCAGGACACGACATTGACCACATCTTCTTTCTGCTCTTTTCGTCTCTTGTTCCTTTGGCAAACTACATACAAGTACTGCTGACCCTTTGGTTTGTTCAAACATGTCACATTTAGCAGCAGCCAACGCTGTACAGCCTGGTAACCATATCCGCTCTCTCCCACTTGGCGAGCCCTTGATACATGCTGTTTCGTGTCTCCTGGATTCCAGCGGAGTCCCAAACGTTCTATTGGGAAACTACCTTCTCACTGTCTATGGAATTCCGTCGCTAAGCAATGTACGTGATGAGTGGCCTGCCGCAACTTCGTTGGGGAACCGTGGCACTGACATTTTGCAGGATGCTTCGTTTGCAGTACCTGATGATAAGATACCCCAAGCGCGAAAGCTCCTTAACAGCGCTGCTGGTTTAGTCTCCTGCACGGACCAGAACTGTATCATTGTTACAGTTCGATCCCGTCCTCCTCCCATCAACCATTTCCACTTGGACACAGAAGACACGCATATCTATCTATACCCGCTGTCCGAAGTTCTTCCAAACATTCCCAGTATCCCAGGTGCCGGAGACAAAATCATCTCCGCGTCGGATCTTGGTTGCCTTCCTGGGCCAATAATAGGCTATGGCAAGGGTGTGTTTGCTCCAGAGTACAGCTCCGTGCGTGTGCCTTCATTTTCCTGCTTCCTGGAAGTCTGCCTCGTCAACTACGCACACCTTGCTCGAGGCATTGAGGATAATCCAGGATGCTGCTATGACCTCCACTACATGAGCTGGGCATCGTATCTCGTACAATACGTCCATTCACGCGGGTACCTCAACCTTGACTTGCTTCAACCGGTGTTCAGAGACT